CTTCTATCTCGTAAAATCGATTTTCAATGAACTAAGAGACATATATTTTGTAACTCCATAAGACAATTAGGTCAATATTTACCGCCACATTTGAACAAAACAAATTGAGAACACCATTACAACTTGTACCTAGTTCCTATTTAATATCTAGGTTTGGTCTTTTGAGGGAATTTGCTCCTTATCTCTTCTTGATGGGTGACATAGTCGCATACACACTGTGACACGCGTCCAAATCGTTCGACATGAGAGAGGAAGTGACACTAACACCCTTTTTGGAAGCATACGATGTATGTGCACATGAAGAGGAGAGTACATTTTGGCCTTCTTATCGACAGTCTAACAATCTTTAATTCTAATGACAGGTGGTGATGTAGAATCCCATCCAACGGCCAGTATTCAAAGTTAGCTTCAGTTTGACAATTGCATAGCATTATTGGTATACGCCACCATACGACTCTCTCTCACCCATTTCAGTGTCAAAAGACGAATGCCAAAATCTAGACGTTAAATAGTCCGTTATCGTTGAGAGAGCATATTTTATGACACGATTATACTGTTATTTTATTATTTTTACGTTAGTTATATAATGTCGTGTTAATTATATATAAAATTATGATTAACGCACGAGATGTCATGAAGTTAGTACATATGTATCAGGAAAATCTTTCTCCTTATTTTAAAGGTGGTTTTTTATTCATTAGTGATTTGGTATCACTTTCAATTAATTATTGCCATGTGAAGCATAATTTTTTACTAAATACTGTGGAAGTGATTTTGGCTTACCTATATAATCGTTCTCAAACGAGCTGTGTTATACAAAACTCATTCAACGATAGAGTTGTTATAGGCATTCGGAAGTAACCACAAACCTTTAAATTACTCATCTATTTTGGTCTATAGCTGAGTTGGGTTCTAAATTTAGGTGCTCGACAGAAAAAGTCAGTCGGGTATGGGCTCTGCCAGACTCCTCTTCAAGTTGCTCCTTGGGTTTCCCCCAATTTTGTAATTTTGTTCCAACTTGTTCACCAAAATAAAACCCACTTGGATGAGTGTGGGTTTAGTTCTGTTCATAATTTTCAAAATTTCACAAAATAGAAAGAATAAAAAATAAAAGTTTTTTTTTATTTTTTATTTATATCACAAATGATCTTTGAAATTGATCCACGACATCAAAATGGTCCTTGAAATTGACTCACAACATCAAAATGGTCCTTGAAATTAAAAATTAATCAATGTAGTCCCTCAAGTAAGTGTCTCAAATCGATGTAGTCATTCTGTTATAATTATGTCAAAAATTTTGTTATATGCTGATGTGACACATAAATGGGTCACACAAGTCTAATTAAATTTTAAAAAAATTATAAATAGGCTTAATAACTTAATAGTTAATAAAAAAATTGTCAACCCAAAAACCCTGTCCTGCAATCACCTCAAATGCCAGTCCACATTTCTCTACCTCATTCGCTTTCTATTCTCTAAAAAAAATCTCAATACACTCATCTCTACACACTTCGACACCCTTCACCGAATTTAACTTGGATCGAGATCACCTTTGATGACGGCTTGGCCCATTGGCAACAACTTATGGAACATTGTCGTTAATATTTAGGCGATCAACATCCTCACAACCTTAATCTTGGAGAGCTTGAGATAATGAGGTTATAACCGAGGTGCATCCATGGTTGCAATTTGCAAACTATTTCCACAGCCCCTTTTAGGTATTGGTTAAGCCTTGTGCCTTTAAGAATTTATGAAAGGGATCTCTCTTCGGATGAGGCCTTACTATAAGAAAAAAAAAATCCATTGTACAAAAAGGTACTTAGACAACTTTTTAAATTAATTATTTATTGGGGCCCAAAAATGTCACACACAAACACAACCAAGTCTCAATGCCCAATTGTCATGCAAAGCCTACATTCAAGCCCAAACATACGCCAAGACACATCATCGACGAGGAATATATTTACAAACATGACATGACACACCATGCTCATGTTCATTCATCACGACATGCTTCCTTAGCCACAAATCATGCTAAGCCCAAGTCACATATTCAGGGCTTGCCAAGTGGATTGTGGTGTGGATGGTTACGGAAGGTTATTGGGCCTACGTGGAATTGAGATCATGGAAGACTTTGGGCTGCTTGGGAGCCTAAAGATCCAAGCCCATACCTTTTGTATTTCATGCAGGCATCATTGAGAGAAAACTAGCCTAGTTTATCCATTTTCCTAACAAGCCAACCCCTTTAGTTAGGATTAAACTAGATTATTGCATTAAATGCAACTGTCACATCCCAAATCGGCATTGCTGTAGCACGATATTGTTCACTTTGGGCCACACCCTCACGGTTTTGTTTTTGGGAACTCACATGAGAACTTCCCAGTGGGTTACCCATCCTAGGATTGCTTTCACCCAAACTCGCTAAGCTTCGGAGTTCCGATGGAATCCAAAGCTAGTGAGTCCCTAAAAGGCCTCATGCTATATAGAGATGGACATGTACATATAAAACCTATCATCCCCTCTCCGTTGGTCGATGTGGGATGTTATAATCCACCCTCAACATCCTCGACGGCATACTTACACCACACGACAGAGTGACTCTGATACCATTCTGTCATATCCCAGACTGGCTTCGCCATAGCATGATATTGTTCGTTTTGGGCCACACTCTCACGGTTTTGTTTCTAGTAACTCACACGAGAACTTCCCAGTGGGTCACCCATCCTAGGATTACTCTCGCCCAAACTCGCTTAACTTCGGAGTTTTGATGGAATCCAAAGCCAATAAGTCCCCAAAAGGCCTCATGCTATATGGAGGTTGACATGTACATATAAAACACATCACCCCCCCTCTTCCTTGGTCGATGTGGGATGTTACATAAACCCAACAAGTCAAGCATTTAATACTGACTTTCCCTTCCTAGCCTGCACAGACAGCCAACGTGCAAAAGCCATGAAGCGCGCTACCAGATTTAGCGTTATGAGAAAGTCGTGCCTCGAGAATAAGCAATATGCAGGTCTCAACACTGCTACTAGTTTACACCAAAAGGGGAATAATACGATAACTAGCGAGAAATAAGGGGAAGACCAAACCACAAAGGGATATTCCCTTGAAACCTAGAGAAGAAACCTTCACTTACATAAGGAGAGAGATAAGCCATTAGAAGGGGATTCAAATTAACAAAGTGAAAGACATAGAGAAAACGTAGTGAGAGAGAATCACCCAGGAAGAAGCCCAGAAAGTTCCATTTAGCCTAAAAGCATACACCAAGGCCCAAGCATCACCATCCATGAAACCTTAGTAATTTCCATAGCTTTGCATTAAACATCCCAGTCATTAAAAACCTTACTATCACCCTAGAAAAGTCCAGATTATCCCGGAAAGAATGCCATGCAACCATGCAAATCCCTTCTCTTTCATGTAACCTGATAATCTTCTAGCTTCCACACCACGCTTCACTTGAGTAAGTCATTATCTTGATCTTTCACGCTATCTTCGAGCTGTTGATGTTACTAGGGTATTTCCTAAGACAAGCTATCTTTTTCGTGCTATCCCGGGACTTGTTGCGAATTTGCACTAAAGGAGACAATTGGACGTTCTCAAAGCCCAAGTCCGCCTCGACCTAAGAGTCCCCCAACATTATTAAACCCACTTCAGGACATAACAAATTTTTTTTACAGAATTGTGGCGGAAGGATCTTATTGATTTGCGATACCTATTTTCAAAAACTACATTAATTGATTTTCAATTTCAGGGACCATTTGTGATAAAACTCATAAATCTTGTGGGGCGTATTTATGTGTCGTATCATCACTTAACGGAGTATTTAACAAAATTGTGAAGGAATGATCACATTGATTTGTAATACCTATTTTCAGGGACTACATTGATTGATTTTTTAGTTCAGATACTATCTTGATGGTGAGGGTCAATTTCAGGGACTATTTGTGATAAAAACCCAAAAATAAAATACATCCTACTTCTCTTATGTTACACACTCATGTTTCATCATGTTCGTTATTTTTTATTTAATTTATTTAATTCAATAACTAAGAATAAAGAAGAGTATACAAGAGACTAAAACATGTGTTTAAAAATCAACTATATAAAAAAAAGCACATTGCATGGTCGTTCATCATTCTTCTATCTTCATCTTTATTTCAAGTTAAAATATAGGTTTAAGAGAGTACTTGCAGCGTAGTAATTAAGAACTTTTATTCTTTACATTTGAAAAATTGTGTGTTTAAATTTTCATTTCCTCAATACTGCTTATATCAAGAAGTTTAAAGGGGCAGGTCAAAGCTTGAAGCAACAAAGATTATGTAATGCCACTAGGCAGAAAGTCGAAGCTTTAATTGCATTAATGGGTATGCATCCAAATTAATTGAAAAAGGGGAGTTATGCAGCACGTAGCGGGTGAAACTATATTTAGATCAAAGCGAGCACAACCTTCCTCGATCTTGTTGATTATCACAAGGAGAATGCCAAAATGTGAGCATCCATAAATCCGTTGGTTCTGCAAGAATACCGAAAAAAAGGAAAAGAAGAGAAATCTAACTCAATTTCATTAATTCATCAATGACCTAAACTATTACAAAGAACTCATATAAATAGGGTTAACACAACTTGGGTGCCAAGCATACTTGACCGAAAAGAAATATAATTCCCCAACCTTGTGTCTCAAATACTTGTCTTCGAAGTCGGCTTTAATTTTCTGACGTGGGTCACCTATTGAAAACGAAAGAACTTTTGTTATTCGTTGAAACTTGGTCGTCAAGAAAAAAGAGAAAATCGACTCTAATACAAATATTGTCCATGATTGATGATTCCATAAAATGGTGGGCGCATCAATGTTGAAAACGAATACCTGCATGCGTATTTCTGACTTTTTGTACAGAAAAACGTGGGCCTGTGAGTTCTCGAGCACCACACAAACTTGCATGCCTGGATGGACCTATAAATTCTTCACTACTTTGTCTCAGTTCCTTCAACTAGCTTTACTTTCACAGCAGCAATTAGCAATACAAAAACTAAAAAGATGGAAGATTATCTTATTTTTATCAAAACGTTGGTAATTTCTTTGGTTTCTGTAATTCTCGTTTCTGTTCTGAGAGTTGTTCATGTCTATTGGTTTAGACCCAAGAGCTTGGAGAAGCAGTTGAGAAAGCAAGGGATCAGAGGCAAAACTTACAGGCTTTTCCAGGATGACATGAAAGAGATCAGCATGTCCAGCAAGGAAGCATGCGCCAAACCCATGTCCCTCAACCACCAGATTGCTCCACGTATCTTCCCATTTTTTCATCAAATGGTGCAGAATTATGGTATAAACAATAATATGTGCATATTTTGCCCATACCAATTTGAGATTTTCATGCACGATTCTAATTTAAACTATGGAACGAGTCATTTTGCACTCCTCATTTATTTTATTTTTTTGTAAGAGAGGAACGTATTTAGTGACTTTCTGTAGAGTCAATAGTAACTCATTTTTAGATTTGAATTTTGCTACGATTCTTACATGTGAAAAGTCATTTCTATTTATATGCAAATCAAATTCTAACTTAATGTAACCCATCAAAAATCACAAAAACAAAAGTCCTTACACGTGCCAAACTGTTATTCGTTGCAAAAGAAGTGACTAGTCATTACATGTAAATTACAAGTATTTTTCTCTAAATTCTACTTATGCAATGTTCAATGACATTTCAATTTTGCTTTAGGAAAAGTGAGTTTGGGGTGGATTGAAACAAGGCCAAGGCTGATTATAGCTGACCCAGAGCTGATCAAGTTGATATTAGCCGAAAAGAATGGGCAGATTACAAAGCCACCACTGAACCCACTTGTCAATCTTCTACAAATGGGCATCTCAACCTTGGAAGGAGAGCAATGGGCCAAACGCAGAAGGCTCATCAAACCTGCTTTCCACCTTGAGAAATTAAAGGTCAAAATCTTACATCACTGATTGGCTACTTATATACAAAGAGTCCTTCCTCTTTCGCTGCAAATTATAGTCGTCAGAGACCTATGCTACTTAATCGATTAACTTATACTTTCTGGTTGCTGGATAAAAATAAATAAATAAATAAAATACAGGGAATGGTACCTGCATTTGTAACCTGTTGTTTTGGTCTGATCAATCGGTGGGAAAGTTTAGTTGGACATGAAGGAAGATGTGAACTAGATGTAGCTCCTGAATTTCAAAACCTTGCTGGTGATGTTATAGCTAGAACAGCCTTTGGAAGCAACTACGAAGAGGGGAAGAAAATATTTGAGCTTCAAAAAAAGCAAGCTGTTCTAGTGCTTGAAGCCTACTATGATTTCTATTTTCCAGGCAAAAGGTACAATACTTTATTATGTAGTTTTTATTTGCACATGACTATTTAGGTTAGCAGCATTCCGTTCTTGCTTTGTTAGAGCATGTCTTCAAATTTCATGAACATTGTTAACCTAGTTAGTTCTCTCTCGGCACAGATTCATACCCACTAAAAAGAACAGGATGAGGTACAACTTGGATAACGAAATCAAAGCAATATTAAGGGGTATGATCAGCAAGAAAGAGCAAGCAGCCATGGAAAATGGTGAAGAGGGTGCAAATGATTTGCTGGGCTTACTATTACAATGCAAAGAACAAGAGCAAACAAGCATGACAATTGAGGATGTCATAGAGGAGTGCAAGCTATTCTACTTTGCTGGCCAAGAAACCACAGCCAACTGGCTGACTTGGGCTATGATTGTCTTATCTATGCATCCAGACTGGCAAGAAAAAGCAAGAGAAGAAGTCCTACGTGTGTGTGGAAAGAACACACCTGATTTAGATGCTCTAAATCACCTTAAGATTGTAAGTCGTTTCCTGCTTAATGTTACATATACCACAACTACTTACTAGTTACTATAATGTAGAAAATAAGTCTTCATCTTTAATATAACACATGTGGTTAACAATGTGATTAATGAATGTGAATATCAATTTAAACCCTAATTCGTTAATCGGGTTTTTTGTGTGTATGTAGGTGTCGATGATACTAAAGGAAGTTCTAAGGTTATATTCACCTGTGTCTGCTCTATACAGGCACACCCAAATCAAAACCAATGTTGGAGGCATTTCCATCCCAGCTGGGGTTGAATTTGTGCTGCTGACTATGTTTCTTCACCATGATAAAAAATGTTGGGGTGAAGACGTTGAGGAGTTCAACCCCGAGAGATTTGCTGAAGGAGTTGTAAAGGAACCAAAGGATCAAGTTGTATTCTACCCATTTGGTTGGGGCCCTAGAATATGCATAGGGCAAACTTTTGCTGTGATAGAAGCAAAGATGGCTCTAGCTATGATTCTTCAGCATTTTTCTTTTGAGCTCTCACCTTCTTACACTCATGCTCCTGTTATGGGCATTACCCTTCAGCCACAACATGGAGCCACAGTTACACTTCACAGAATTTAAGATGCTGAAACTGGTTCCCTATAAATAAGACTTCCTTACGTAAATTACAAGGTTGGATCCTTCATGTAAATGTGATTTTTCACATGCTTCAATATAGTTTTACCTAAATAACAATGGCAGCATGCAGGGATTGGTTCAAAGTTTCAAAGTCATCTGGGCTAAATTTACCTTAGGTACAATGAAAAAAAAACCCTTGACAATAGTAGTGAATTTTATTGATAAAGAAAATAAATATACCTAGTCGGGAAGGGACAAAATGAACCTTACCCTCAAAATGCATCTAGTACATACAGATTTAAGATTTAGAATTGGTTAGGGTGAGACAAGCTCTTTTCTATTGTTTGGCTGGGCTATTACACATGACTGAGCTCTTAAAGCATCTACACCAGCAACCAAATGCAAGGGCAATTGGGTTAAGTTACCCTTCACCTCAAAAAAACTCCTCCAGCAATCCACAAAATGAGAGGCAATTGCCAATTTTGCAGTTGCCCCTTCTACAATTGCAAGGGCTTGCGCCCGAGTTGAAGCCCAGCAGACAGCCCCCCCCACCACAAAACAACATGAAGCCCAGCAGCTATTTGCCACTCTCCACGTCAAAGCAGCTGCTACTTCCCCAAACCGTTTGCAACTCCCCACGTTAGAGCACCTGCCACTTCCCCCGCCCACGTAGCCCTTTGTGAGCCTTTGATTTCGAAAAATTGTCCAATTCAACGGTTAGGAATATCCAACTCTAAAAATTGAAAAAAGTTCATAGAAATTACCAAAACAAGTTTAAAATATTCAAAAACTCACAACGTTCACACTTTAAAAATCTTACAAAATTCAAAAATCTATGACAATAATGATACGTGGCGTTAAGATGAAGAAAACATTAAAACAATATGTTCGTGAATAGTAATCGCCATTGCCCTTGCCCTTACTCTTTCTCCTTCCAAATGGGTGAACTTGCACAAAGACAATTATTGTTTAGAGTAAGTGGTGAGAAGCAATTTCGTTACCCTCACTCTCCAATTGTCATTGCCTTCCATTAACTGGTGAAGATATTCTTATAACTTAAAAGGCTATGTTTGCTAATTTTAAAAATAATAAAATAAAAATCTCATATTATAACCCAAATTATCGTGTGCATGGGTCCGTGCCTGACATAAGCGATTTAAGGTGACTCAATATCTCAACATTTTATAAAGCAGCTACTACGGTTAAGTTGTCACATCTTTATACTTATAATAAGACTAGTTTCTAAAGTGAGCTTGACATTATGTTATTTTACATGATGCTATGATTCAAATTGTGAAACAATATAGTTTTCTTTTTTCGTCTGAAAGAAACATTTAAGTTGACTTCATATATATGTTATATTTACAAAGCAAGATGGGAGGATATAATTGTTTACGTTAATAACAAAGTTATTTTTTTGTTGTTACATAATTATTGTTGCTGTCGGTCAGTTTAATACTAAATACATGCATATATATTATATATCCGTACAAGGTGGGTAAAAAATAATAAAAAAGAAAGGAAATTGTTATTAGTATTCCAAAAATCTCATTTGACATTCTAAACTTTCTGTAATTAGAAAGAAAAATACACTTATGAGGAGTGTAGATTGAGATTTTTAAAGTGCTAATAACAATTCTCAAAAGAAAAACCAAGTGGATTATTCTGACTTTCTGTACCAATATGGCAATATCTGAGGGGGCCAAATTGCAACAATAGTCTTGCTGCTTGTTTGAATTTTCACTTTCGTTTACCTAGTTTTGCATTCTGGTCTTTGTAGTTTTGTTTTGTTATATTTCAAAAAATTCATATCAGCAATAACTGTAAAAAAAAAAGACAAAATAAGTGTTTTCCAACCGAAATGTCAATTCTTATGGGACATGATATGGATTGGCAGCAATTAAGGAGGATTGCTGTCAAATTTGATCCTAGCTTCTAATCATTTTTAATTAATTGTTAAATGCTTTATATTAATTTTTATTGATTTAAACATTTATTAAAAGTGATTATTGATTAATAGTGCTTTTTATTGGTTTAAAGCATTTATTATAATTTAAATTTTATGTTTAAAATTTGTATTAATGAATAAAAAATATGAATCTTCATTCTAATCCTTAGCAAAGATGAGTTGTAGACTAAAAACATAAGTAAGATCAAAATCTAATTTTAGTCCCTTGATACATTAATCACCTTATTTATTAATTATATATTGATGTTTTAATTATTTCACTTTTTTTTTTCTTCTAATTTTAATTTATTATTTATATTTCGATCTATTTTGTCTTCTTTATTTAGGTACATTAATTTATTTAATATATTATATTATATCCATTTCAGTACATACATTTAGGTACATTAATTCAATTAATACATTTTGGTGCATATATTTCAATACAAACATTTAGGTACATTAATTTAATATAATACATATCGGTACATAGATTTAGATACATTAATTGAGTTTTCCAATTTAAAGAATGTCAAGTAAATTTAATAAAATAAAAAGACTTTTTTGGGTCAAAAAATAAATTCAAATGTGTATGTTAATAAACTCAAATCTCTAATGGGAGGCATTCGATATACATATTAATTAATTTGAATTAAGGACACATTATGACACACCCGATCAGTGGCATACTTGTTTGCTAGACTCTTTTGTCGATCCTGAGCTGCTTTCAGGTTAGACTCAGGTGATGGGCAGCACGCCTTGATTTCGGTCGGGGTGTGTCACATTAAGGGACTATAATTAATATGTAATCTAACGTCAAGGGATTATCAATGCAATTCAGCCAATAAATTCATCACAAGTTGTGCTGGACCTATAAATTTTTTAGTACCACTTGTGCTGGACCTATAAATTCATCACAAGTTGGTTTCAGTTCCTTCAACCAGCTAGCAATAGCGGGAAAACAAAGATGGAAGGTTACTTCTTATTGATCAAAATGTTGGTATTTTCTTTGGTTTCTGTAATTCTGTATTTGGTTCTGAGAGTTGTTCATGTCTATTGGGTAAGACCCAGAAGCTTAGAGAATCAGTTGAGAAAGCAAGGCATCAGAGGCAGATCTTACAAGCTTTTCCGTGATGACATGAAAGAGATGAGCACGTCCAGCAGAGAAGCATGGTCCAAACCCATGTCACTCAACCACCAGATTGCTCCACGTGTCCTCCCATATTTTCATCAAATGATTCAAAAATATGGTAATTCGTAAAAATTTATGCTTATGATCGTAAGTTTTTTTTTCTTGTAACTAAAGATGCAGTTAAATTACATTATTAAGGCAAACTCATTGTAAGGCTTAGCTCACTCCCTCACCCCTCATTATTATAGATACTATCGTTTGTTAAAAAAAAAAAAAACTTGGAAAGTGTTTCGTGAAACTCACTTTCCAAACAAACTTTATACATACTGTGTGATCCCATATATTTTAATTGGTTTAGGAAAAGTGAGTTTGGGGTGGATGGAAACAAGGCCAAGGCTGATAGTAACAGACCCAGAGCTAATCAAGGATATATTAATAAACAAAAATGGGCATTTCATAATGCCACCACTGAATCCACTTGTGAAACTTCTGCAATTGGGCGTCGCAACCTTGGAAGGAGAGCAATGGACCAAACGCAGAAGGATCGTCAATCCTGCTTTCCACCTTGAGAAATTAATGGTAAAATCTAAAGCATAATTATGTTGTTTTTCATTTTTTTAATTTTTATTAAAGTTAAGTTTTTTGTTTTTGAAAAATGAAAGCTAAAAATGTTAAGAAACTGCCCTTATAAAGTCATATGTGAAATTTTATTTCTACATTCTGATTGTTATAGAAACTGTGACAGGGTATGGAGGCTTCATTTGTAACCGGTTGTTCTGACATGATCGATCGATGGGAAAAATTAATTGGTGTTGAAGGATCAAGGGAAGTAGATGTGGCACCAGAATTTCAAAAATTGATTAGTGAAGTTATAGCTCTAACGGCCTTTGGAAGCAGCTTTGAAGATGGGAAGCTATTTGAGCTTCAGAAAAAGCAAGCCGCTTTAATGCGTGAAGCCTATTATGGTTTCTATTTCCCAGGTTTCAGGTTTGATTGACATTTTTGCTAGTAATGTTTTTATTATAAATATGCAGAAATTTTTATCAAGAGGTCAAGTGCTTTCTCAAAAAAGACACTTGAAGGTGCTTTCTGAATAAGGACGTACAAATGCTTCTCTAGAAAATACTTGTACAACCTCAAAGCAATTTTAAGTTTTTATGTCAAACATCAAACATGGTTTGGGGTTTATGGATGGTATTTTTAGTAGTGTTTTATTTTTCTTTCGCTTTATTTTTGTGTTTAGTAAAGAAGAGCGGATGTGGATTTTGTTATAAAGCAGCTAGTTTTCTGTTCTCTGTGCAGATTCATACCCACCAAAAAGAACAGGTTGAGGTATAAGGTGGACAATGAAATCAAAGCAATATTAAGAGCTACAATCAGGAAGAAAGAGCAAGCCATGGAAAATGGTGAAGTGGGTGCAAATAATGATTTGTTGGGTTTACTGTTACAATGCAAAGCACAAGAGGAAAATAGCATGACAATTGATGATGTCATAGAGGAATGCAAATCATTCTACTTTGCTGGCCAAGAAAGCATAGCCACCTTGTTGACTTGGACGATGATTCTATTATGCATGCATCCAAACTGGCAAGAAAAGGCAAGAGAAGAAGTCCTCCGTGTGTTTGGAAAGAAAACACCTGATTTAGATGGCATAAAACACCTCAAAATCGTAAGTTTTCTCTGCACGAGTAATGCTACATTTACTAATTATTTGCAACTCATATCTCTTACAAAGGCGATTCACAATGTGCTCAATAAATGTCTTACTTCGTTACTCATATTTTAATTTTTTTTGCAGGTGTCGATGATATTGACCGAAGTTTTGAGGCTATATCCATCTCTAGTTCTTCTATTTAGGCACACCCACCAGAAAACAAATGTAGGAGGCCTTTCCATCCCAGCTGGGGTTGATTTCGTGTTTCCGATTCTTTTTCTACATCACGATCCAAAATATTGGGGTGAAGATGTTGAGGAGTTCAACCCAGAAAGATTTTCCGAAGGAGTTGTGAAGGCATCCAAGGATCAAACTGCATTTTTCTCATTTGGGTGGGGGCCTAGATTATGTCTAGGGCAAACTTTTGCTATGTTAGAAGGAAAGGTAGCTCTGGCGATGATTCTTCAGCATTTTTCACTTGAGCTCTCACCTTCTTACACTCATGCTCCTGTTATCTCGATTTCCGTAAAGCCAAAACATGGAGCCCCAATCATACTGCACAGGATATAAGATGCTGAAATTGTTGCCCAATAAGTAGATTCGACTAAACGTTGAATCTTCAAGTAATTTGAGTGCACAAAAGATTGTAAAATATTTAATATCGAGTGTAGATGGTTAAAATATTTAACTGAGTGCCGATTGTAAAATATTTAATATTTAATATCGTATGCAAAAATGATTGTAAAATATTCAAAATCGCTGCGATTTCTTATAATAAAACTAGTTTCAAATTAAGTTTAAAATTATGTTAGTTATCGTGATTGTAACCTTATTTTCTTACTCTGCACTCATTTCATTGTTTTTATCCTTTAATTCCCTTTTGATTTTTTAAATTTTAAGTCTCTAGAAGAAGTGTATGAAAGAAATTAAAAGCACGAAAGTCACTTCTCTTTTACCGGATTGATCAATTAAATAATGTGAATAAGGTCTATGATATGAAGTTATAGCAAGTCTCAGTGTGATGAAAGATCCTTTGTAGAGCAGCTCATGTCATGTCACCCGTGCATTCAAGACTAACACAAGAAGAGTGTAACCTTTGGCTCTTGTGTGTCTTGACCATATGAGTGATCCAAGAATTTCTGCAAGGAAGATGTAGCCGACATTTTATGCAGCTTTTACTCATCTTATTACCTTTCAAGATGTTTGAAACAGTGAAAGTTATTTCACTTTTTCCAAAAACCTATCTTGAGTTTTGGTTTTGCAACCCAATAAAATTAAAAGAATAAATCTGACCAAACTCGATAAATCAACCACTTTTGACACACCCCAACCCAGAAAGTCCACTTGAACTCTGAATCGAGCTGTGCTGGCCGACACCTGGAAGGTGACGAAGCCATAAAATGTGATAGTGTATAAAAAGTGAATACATTTGAATCTAGAAGTGTCTAAGTATCAGAGTGCGCTACGAGTGGGAGCGAACTCATTTCACACGCGATGTCAGAGCATAAGTAAGGTACAGTAGTGTGGGTAAGAATCATACCCTTAGAAATATCCATCAATACTAAGATTCGCCACAGATTCTTGTCGATGCAAACTCAGCAGCTAAAACCTGGAGGGCACCAAACAGAAGGTGTGAGTAAGTAATAAAACCAAGCTTCCCAAAGTTATTACTGTTGGAAATGTGCCCTAAAACCAATCATATGATGATACTTTATGGACATTTCACATGTTAAACTAATCTAGTTTAATATTAAGGGCAAACATTATTGTTTGAGCCGTCTCATATAAATGTTATATGTTTAAACGATAAGTCCAAGGAATATGTGATTGGAAGAATGCGATCTAAAGAAGTTAGATTCATGAGACCATTCTTTCGTTGACACATCCTAAACGTTCCTGATCATAGGATTGTCAATTGGGCATTGACAGTCCGTTAAGATCAGTACGTGCTATGTCTTCTCTCAGGGAGAGTGACTAGTCTCGAGTTATTGGTGTGTGTGACATCAAGACAAGTACGTAGGTGCTCAATAGAGAATGAGTTCACTGAACACGATCAACGAAGAGTTCTCATATTCATGTCACATGAGAACTCATGGTTGGGATAATGCAAATTAGTCTTTTGACCTGAGGCATCACAGTTGTCTTGTGGTTAGGTCCTTAATCTTTGATTATGTCAAAGTCACTCCATCATGAGGGTGTCCATGGCATCGTTGGGGTTAAGCCACTTAGCCATGGAGGCAAGTGAATGCGCAACAAGGGATCTTTAACCTTCAAACTGTTTGAGGGAGAATACTCTATGATATGATTTTGAATCTTTGGCCAAAGTATGAATGAGATTTGGGAATGTGTTCCAAATCACATTCAAGGTAATCATATAAGCACAAGACTCACATTGGATAGTAGACATGAATAAACTATCAAACCAAACAATGTGGTCAAGAGTATTGTATTAGAGAAAGACCGTATTGCATTTGTAATCCTAAAACTGAATAGGTTCTCTACCTCTTCTGATTAGCTTGGGTAACCATGACATGCTGCTAGGCGTCAACCATGGTTTGTGGAAGCCCTAAAAGTGTATTATCACTAACGGGAGAATTGAAAGTAAGTTTCAATTCACAATCGATTAGAAAGAGTTTTAATCGCCCACTGCCTCGCTAAAAGGAACCTAATGGATCGTTCACCGAGTAAGGTAGAGTTTGAAGAAACAACGGAGATGAGTAAGAATAATTAAATGGTTTAATTATTTATCTAAGGCTAGGATTAATTAATATGTTAATTAATCAAACGAATAAGTTCGTTAAAGACCTCGGGTTAGTTTTGGGCCGCAAGGCCCAATGGGATTTGAATGTCAAGCCCATTAACTCAAGTTGTATGACAACTTGAATAAACAAAGGGCTTGAAAGCCCAATAAACCTATAGGCCGGCCATGTGTAAAAGAATAGGGCTTTTGGTCCTTATTTGAAGGGACTATATAAAGGACTTTATAGCCTAAAATTTACTAAGGGTTATTTTTGGGGAAAGGATGAGAACACAAGCTCTCATTTCTCTCAAGAATTTCGGCCACCTTGGAGGGATCATCTAGCAATCAAACTCCTCCAAGGTCACTCATTTCTTCTTCATTATGCCTTGGTGATGAATCATTAGAGGTTCTTAATTTTGGGAACTTGGAGAAACCTTTTCATCCATCCAAATCCATGGATCTAAGATGCAAGGAATGAAGGCCCTCTCTTTGGGTGATTAGCCTTTGCTTATGCAAAGAGGAATCTACAAAGGTATTGATTTCTCAACTCACTTTGTTTGAGTTGAGTCTTGGTTCCACCTATCTACAGGCTTTGAATTTCATGGGTAAATGTTTTGTTTTTAAGTGCATACAAGCATGATTCCGCCTTTAATTGTTAATTGCATGCTATTGATGTTGCTTAAATGAACATGTTTTTCACAAATATTCCTTTGAATTACCTCTCTAAAAGTAATGCCCCTAAATGTAAAACCCGTATCGTTTTCCATAAGGCAGTACAACATATATACATATATCCAAACCATACTCAGAAATGACCAAAACCACGGTTTGCCATCAACTCCACCATACATTAATAAGTAGGCCAAATGAACTAAATCAATACAAAGTGATATATCAGTCAGAGTCATCTAAAATGACATGTACAACTTATCCATATCTCATCAATCATGGCTAGCATATAAGTCGGAGTCACCTATAGTGACCTGTACGACTTATCCATATCTCATTAATCCTGGCTAGCATATAAGTCGGAGTCACCTATAGTGACCTGTACGACTTATCCATATCTCATCAATCCTAGCTAGCCAATAGCTCAATAAGTATACCTGCACACGAGTCGGAACCACCTAAAGTGGTCTGTACGACAGGACTGGGTGTAAATAAATACGCTCAAGTGCTACGATCACGTGAAGACTGGGCGAATAATCGCGGGTCACCTACGAGTCGGAACCACCTAAAGTGGTCTATACGACAGGACTGTGCACCTACCTTGAATCCAAGGTGAGCGTAAGGTGCGGGAGGTGAACATCACGTGAAGGACTGTGCCCTGGGCACGGGCGGGAGCACTAACACCGGGGTGCAGGTTTATGAGCTCTCAATGCATCTCAATATAACATGTGGAACTCATGGCAACCAGTACGACAGTATCGAAGTTGCCTAACACATAACTGTAGTCATGCTATAACTCTATCGATTCAACTAATACCATAAACTCACCTAAACTTACCTGGGTGTCTTGAGTTCACCTTTGCACTTGAAAGCATTCCCAATAATTATATGCAAGTAATATACATATGGATATACCATGATGCAATCTAATACTCAACCATGTCGTAGCATTTTCAATTATAAACAATACAGTGAGAAGTGTACAATCAATAACACCCTACTCCCAAACTAATTATTTTCAGGGATAATTATCCATGACAACCCAATTAACACTAATTTAACAAACTAATTCATAAAACTAAAACTTGCCTTTACCAATTTCCTTCGCATTACTCAATTTCCCAAGTAAAGATTTTGTCTCAAATATTTTATGGCTGCATCTAACGTCTTGTTAGACTGCCTACGTACCCTAGACGGGGATCAAGCCATTCGTAGTTCATATAGGTACTTCAAGCATTCACAATAATTATACGAAGGTAATATACCTAATCAATTTAAAAGTGTCGATAGAACTCTCAACAATATGTACGATAAAAAGGAAAAGATCCACTCACCTGGAGTCCACGCTATGATTCTCTAGCACACACATCGAGACGTCCTGAATGATTGGTCCCTGTGACCAATTATCAAATCACATCTCAGAACTCTTATCCGAAGAATAAGTAATTCACATAAAACACAACCTCAATGACATTCTAAAATAGTTTGAGACCCATTGACCACAAGTCAACCATCGATCGTTTACAACCCTGTATAACTTGACCCGGAAGATCCGCATATCAGATTTCTAATCCGCAACTCCCAACGATCCACAATATGTTTCTAGAATAACATATTAAAATTTCATTACGATCCAACGGTCAGATCTCCGCCAATTGCCTAAAACAAGTGGCCGTGAACATTTATTTTACTAACTTACAAATCCAATTCAGGAAGATCCGTAAGTCGGATTCCCGATCCATAAATTCCTATGATCTTTAAATATTACGTATTATAATGTATCCAATTTTGGTGACGATCCAACGGTCGGATCATCGATTTACATTTTTATCAAGTAACGTATCGTAACGAATTTAGGTTCCAACTATCAACCTACGTCATTCAAATGACAAAATTGAATTCAAGACATTTGACATAGCCTAAAAATAGCATTGGCGGCCCTACTGGCCACACGCCGCCGCACCCACCGCCGTGGGTGGCGGTCGGCCGTCCCGACTCGCCGGAAAATCCAACTATTTCCAAAAATTCTCAAACTTCACAGAAATGAATATCTCAGTGAGTGGAGCAACTTTCATACCTGTCACGAAGTCCAAAAGTGGACGGAAGATGGTCAATTTTCCTACAAAGCCGGCGAGTGCCTAAAACTTCTCAACGTCGATTCATCGTCTACGGTGGTCCAACGGGGTCAAGGTTGGTTGGGTTTTGCTCCTGGGATGATGGGCTACAAAGCCCAAGTGGTGGCATCGGCCATCGCTTTGCCGATTTGCCGGAAAATCGAAAAGGGTGGCCGGAGCACCATTGATTTTCGTCAACTTTCGTGGCCTCAAACCGCCCCATACCATGGTTAATCAAGGTGGTTCTTGGGTGGGTTTTGTAGAGGGGAATGAGAGCTTCAAGATGGTGGTGGTGGCATCGAAAAACTCCACTGGAGTTGGCCAGAATCGGCCTTGGAAAATGGACCCGCGGTGGGTGCGGGTGGACGGGAACCACTTCCTTTCTTCTTTTTTTTTTTTCTTTTCTTTCCTCCCTCCATTTCTGATTGGGCTTCCCCCACAAAGTGGGGATTTAATTTAAATAAACACTAAACCTTGAATAACCAATTTCGAACGTCCGTAACTATACCGTTATAATCCGGACTCGCAAACGGCTTTCGCCTATACGTTCGTACCAATGAGTACTACGAGGATATGCTAAAAGAATAAGTCCCACATCTCTCAAGTCGATGGTCAACGGAAGTCAAAGTCCTTACCTCTAGGGCAATTTCGTAAATTCACGCTTTTAAAATAAAATAAAAACGTAAAATTTGGAACGGATTGTCACAACTTTCTGCTCTAAAAGATTTCTTAGATTCAATCACTCACACAGACGAAAAAATGCTAAAATATCTGCATAATATATAAAGGATTGTAACACCGAAACATGATTTGTTAATTCAAGGAAAATAAACCTCAATTGAAAATACATACAAAAGGATCAAACATGAAGTGGGATTTTCCTAAAATTAGCAAAAAGGGCCTCACAAATGCATCCCTAACAACTATCATGAACACAAAAAATAAAAGGAAAGTATTACTGGCACTCCAAAAATCTCATTCTACACTCCTCACAAGTGTATTTTTGTTTCCAAATATAGAAAATTTGGAGTGTAGAATGAGATTTTTGGAGTACTAATAACAATTCTCAAATAAAATAATAAATAAAAATAAAAACATTGCTTAAATTTCATGCAAAGTAAACCAACTCTCATCCATTTCAAGGAATGTATTCATCCACTCCAAATTCAGAGGCCCTTGTTCGCTGCTCGAGCAGTTGAAGAATTCGTCGCCATTGAAACCGAAGTTGAAGTTCTCCTCATGTTTGAAGGCGTCTTGTCTTTCAATTGTTAAAGCATTCACGTCCATTGCTTTGATATTCTTTTGCTCTGTGGACCCTTGCACTGTCTTTGAAACTGCTCTGTTTTGCTTCATCTTTTTGCTCAAATGAGAGTTCCAGTAGTTCTTGATCTCGTTATCTGTTCGACCAGGTAGTCTTCCGGCAATCAACGACCACCTATATTCATAAGCAAGCCAAGTAAAACTGTAACTAAATGTTTAACAAACACAAGAACATTGTAAATGTAAGTTAAGTCCGCTAGTCAGGGCAATGCGCCGCACTCTTACCTGTTTCCCAGAAGCTTATGAAGCCTAAGAATTAAGTCTTCTTCTTGGTCTGAAATATTGCCTCTCTTAATATTAGGTCTAAGATAGTTCATCCATCGTAACCTGCAGCTCTTCCCACATCGCTTAAGACCTGAAAAAAAGAAAATGACATTTTAAGCCTTCTACGCCTATAAGAAAAATTAAACATGAAATGGTTATCAAATGGGCGTTAAATATGCGAAAACCTGCTTTAGTTGCAATGGACTTCCAACGCCTCGGACCGTGGATTTCTATAACTTGAGCAAGTTTTTGGTCCTCCTCTGCCGTCCAGGAGCCTCTGTTTACTTCTTTCTTAGAACTTCGACTGCTAACTGGAACCATTGACACACTTATGTGAGATGATTTGAGGCCTACAAATTAAGAGAGGTGAAAGTATATACTGAGTTTTTGGAGGTATATTTAGGTTGGTTTTTCCTCTTTTTCTTAGCTACCTTTCCTTGGAAGATTTCAACACCAGCTACCCTTGTATTTATACTTGTGGAGACTCGAGAGTAGGACTGTAGTAAGACAGTACATATCTTTCCCACGATGTCGACGTGGATAAATGATTGAAGGAGAAAATTTGTGTGTGAGAGCCAACCGCATCATCATAGAGATTCCTGTATTTTGATTTAATCTAATAGTTGTCATAATCAGAAAATCATACACAAATTTTATTTTATGTTAGAAGAAACATATATACAATACGAATATTATTATAACGTATTCCAAAACTTCTTATTGATGCTAAATGTTTAGTTTTCTTTCATTAATTTGTAATGTTGCTACAGTGACAATCTTCTCGTACCCATGACAATTAAAATAAATAAGAATTTTTCTGATCAAACGGCCCAAATTGTACAATCATGCATGATTAAGAAGATGCATAGGGTTTTAGCATAGTTAAGATAATACGATGACATGGTTGGAGGCAACTGTCACTGAGTGAGGCACTGCAATATACAAACACTATGCATGTGATCCAAGTGGGCCACGACAAAGGAATGATGACAGTATTGAAAGGGGAATTAGGGTTTCAAACTTAATCAGGACAACAAGCGAGTCAATTTAGTGATCAAAACAAACAGTCAAATGCATGATAAAAAATTAGGTTATAATCAGAGAAGAGAATAATAAAGTACAAACCCTAAAGTGGGAGGACTCATACCCTTGCAGTGATTGGTTGGATTCTTTTATTTTTCTCAGAAATAGTATGATGTCCCATATGTCATGTCCTTACAAGTTCCAACCCACATGGCCCAAATATGTTTTTCATGGCACCAAATTCTGTGCCTAATCATGCCTTTTTATTCTGTTTTTGTTTGTCTACATTCTAGGGCATAAAAAAAAAAAAAAATTTAAAAAAAATTTGATTTTTAAGTATATACCGCGAGATTTTTGACAGTTAGCTAAGGGTAAGGTATTTGAGTAAGCAAATTTATTTTGAAGAATTATATAGGCAAAAGTTAATTTTAATGGTATAGATAATTAAGTTTGTAAATTTTGCTTACCATCTTAAAGTAAACAATGTTATCTACCATACTATGAGTAGGCAAATGGGGTCGAACATCTCTTTCTATAGTAAATATTTTTTTTGGAGGAAGATGACAAAACCAATAGATAATGGTAATTGTTGTAGATGAATATATATATAATTTTATCTACTTTGTTTGCCTAATTCATCATGGTGATAAATTTTTGTCATGAGGTGTATTTTTACTCACCACCCTTAAGTGGTGGAGAGATTTTTCAATATATAGAGAACACGGTCCAGTACACTAAGTATAATAATACAATTTGTTGGAAACTTAAAAAAAATTGTATTATGACAATTGATGTACTATACCGTGTTCTTAACACATTAAAAAATTTATTTAAGTAGTTGTAATACTCGCTAACCCACGTAATACTATTCGAAAAATAAAAGGATTTTTTTATTTAACAGCTATAAATTTAGTAATATAAAATATTTTGAAACATAAAAGAACATTTTATAAAAACCTGCAAAAAAAAAAAGGGGCCATGAACTCTATCTTCTACAACTAAACCACAGACCCCAGCTACCCCATCTTCTTTGATGACTGAAGGAGTCAGAGAACCCACTTGGAACCCTGCCATGCACACATAGATTGGGGCCAACTCCAGCGCATCATGTTGCATGAAATCATAGGGTATCCTTTCGGAACTTCAGCCAACTTGAAAAAAGATGTAACTGTATTTAGACTAGAGATTTTTTGTGCATGACCTTTAATTTTTTTTACATATATGACGTGGTATTCATTTTTTTGGACTCTATATATTCTTGGATGGCTGATGAAGTCAGGGAACCCACTTGGAATAAACTGCCATGCACGTATAGATTGGGGCCAATTCCAGCAATCATAGGGTATCATTTGGAACTTCAGCCGACTTGGCAAGAGCTAACTGTTTAAGATGAAATGAAATATTACATATAATCCGTGATATATTCTTTTTCTATCTCACTCATCGGAAACCCACTTAAAACCTGCCATGCTCGTATAGATTGGGAGTCGACTCCAGGACATATATATATATATATATATATATATATATGGCATAAATTCATAGGGTATTCATAACCAGTGATATGGCCTTTTCTCCATCTCACTCGTTTTATGACATGTCAAGTTAGATGGAGAGAGAGCATACATCCTCAGTTGTAACTTTTATAATAATAATCTCTCATGTTTTTAAACATTTACTGAAAGAGAAATTTAATTTTCATGTTATGAAACAGATTGTCGCTTAATTTATATTTTAGTGTTAAAAATATTGAGAATGAGTCTCACATTAATAGGAGGAGGGACCTTGCATGGGCTTATAAGAGATTGAACTACTTCTCATATTGCCAATTGGTTTTATAGTGAAACCTCAACTTTCTTCATGGTATCAGAGCAGGTTGTTTAATGTGTGAAGCCAAACGGCCACATGTGCTCTATGTCATCCCGTTGTGTTGTCCACGTGTTAAGCTCGAAAATTCGCCACACGTGAGGGGTCATGTTGAGAATGAGTTTCACATTGATGGGAGGAGGGACTTTGCATGGACTTATTATAAGAGGTTGGGCTACTCCTCATAACCAATTAGTTTTATGGTGAAATCTCAATTTTCTTCAAAAAATCATGCACATATTATAATATGAGCGAATAAGTAATCCACGTAATGGTGTTGACACTCAAAACTTACTGACAAAACTGTCTCCAAAAATTTAAAAGCCATGTGGACGCATGATTTCCTGCAATGGCCTCTACTGTTAGGAATTAACCATGAACTTTAGGATTGGTTATGTTGGGTCTGCAAATTCAGTAATATTTTAATGAAACCTTGGTTCTCCCAGTTCAAAAAGGTTCAACTCTTTTTTCTCCCTGCAGAGAGTTCCATACACACATTTGAATACAGATGACATGTTTATAGTGGTTTTGATTGAGGATTAGGTAAAAAGTGAGCATTTGCAGCACTGTTTTTATTCATTCTTTATTTAGAATTAACAGAAGTAGTGGATTTACATGTTTTGGAAGAGCATAGTCGGTTGGATCCTAATGAATGGAGTTTACATAATAAATAATTGTATAGCTGCTGGAATTGTTTCATAAGATAACTCTATAAATTAAATCATACAATTGAATAAAATTAAAGAATTATACTCTAAAACGTAGTAGAATGTTGAATTATGATCCCATATCGAAAACCTAATGAAGTTAAATTTTTCTCGTATTAAATGGTTTTAGTAATACTTGCATTACGGGTTTTGTACAAAAACCCATATCCATTGCATTGCACAAATAATTAAGTTCAACAGTATTGAAAATTCTGACGTCTTGAGTTAGGACACTTGAATCAAATCCTCAAAATGCAAATAAAAAAGGGTGTCTCTGAAACTCAAAATAAAAAGTTGTGGAGTAGCAGTGGTCGGTTTGAACTGACTCTGAAACGTTGAAATAGAAATACCTCAAACTTTTTAGATTGGATTATCACTTTCTAACACCAACCACCACCGATGAAATGAAAATAGAAAAAGCAATTCAAACTTCGAAGATCAATGCTAATTGAGTTGTTTTGAGTTGATAATCATGATTAGTAGAAGAATGTTATTACATTGCAAATTGCAGCAATGATATCCTTAACAGTTAGTCATAATCCATCATTGAGCCTGTTGACCCATCAGCATGTGGCGCAGTAATTGGCAATTACCAGATGTTTCACCCAATGTTCTTATGGGAATTACCAGAGCTCCATTAATTTATCTAGAATTTACAAACATCTAAAACCAAGAGTTGAAACCCGCGCCATACAAATTGCCATCATTTAGGGCATGTGAAAAAGCAAACTCTCAATTATATGGCCATGTTCTTGGCACAAGGACCCCAATTTCATTAAGAAATTTGAAATATTAGAATTTAAAAGGCTTTAAAATTGAATAGACTCGATATTGAGACGGGACAAACAGTAATTGTTGTAGATTAAAGTTGTTGGCAAGTTGTCGGTCAAGACAGCGTGTCTATCCTGTCACACTTAAGCTCGAAACCCCCCTCAAAATAGATTATAACTGTTTAGAATGTCGTATTGTAAAATACAATAGTCTTCTTTTGAACAAGTCACTACTGTGATGGTTAGACAATTAGACAAGTTTTCAACAAACTGACTAGCTATCTCAACCTTGATTGTCAAGCCTTTAGCACAAGAAAGCCAAACCAGCAGCAATTTGCTTAGAGAAGGTATACAAATTGAATTCTTGAAGGCACTTTTGCTTTGAGCTGCTGGGTAGCACGATTTCTTTCCTCATCTTCCCTCTTCTTTTCTTCCATACTCTTCTGTGCGGGAACGTCCCAGAAATGTACATCTTGTTGAATTGTAATCTTGTCTTGGCCCAAAGATAATTGATCCGGCCCATACACAAAGAAAGATCCATGCACATGCTAGAGAATTCTAGCAAAGTTCAAGTTGGTAGAAGAGTCTAGAAGAATGGTGAGGATTCCACCAACATACAAGATTAGTGTAGGTAATTCTAGCTTAGGAAGGTAGTGGAATTATCTAGATATCTCTAGCATAATGTTTTCATGCTTCTCCAAGGTTCCATCCATGCCTATAAAAGGAGAAGGCATCCACACCATTTGTAACAACCAAGAGAGAGCAAGTAGCAAGAAGTGAGAGTGTCAAGTAAGAAGTAAGAAGAAGCAACAAAGCTTCTAAGAGTGTTTGAGTGTTTCCTTTTGTACTAAGTTTGTGAGTGAATAAAAACCTTGTGTAATACTTTGAGAATTCTTTCTTTCTCTTGCCTATCAATTCCGCTGCGTTACATTTTTTCTTTGTGAGATAAACCTCTCCAAGTAGTGAAGCATTTTTAAACCCCCAACAAAGTGGTACCAGAGCTATGGCAAGCAATGCTATGGCAGCCTTCCAAGTTCCAGTGCTCGACAGCAACAACTTCGACAATTGGAGT